GGTGCGCCCGGGCCGCTGCGGGCGCTGGGCGTCAGTAGCTCGGAAAACGATCAAAGTTAGGCAGGCGTTTGGAAAACAGGGAAGGCGGACTGCGTTTTCCAGGAAAGCATGCTCTGACCTGTGCGAGGTGAGACGCATCCTGGTGCGGAGCCAAGAGATGTTCACAGCAGGCTGTTACGCCACAGGCAGTGAGCAGGAAAACCCTAAAGCATAGTAATGGGACGATACAGAATAATCAGAATAAGGTTTCTGGGAAGCTGTAGGCAGTTTTCTTTAGTAGTAAACAGTAACTAGAGTAGGACAAATGTTTTCTAGACTTTGTTTATGTCCGTCTCCAAAAGTCATGACAGAGAATGGAAAGACCTAAATAGGCTTTCTGCCTCGCTTCATTTCAAGAGTAAAACGTATATGAAGTAGTGCAGTGCTAGCCAAACTATCTTTGAGCAAAAAGACCTATCAAGCATCTTATACTATTTGATGATCAGGAACTTCTTCAGTGTTATTTAATTATTTTACAATTTATTATTATTATTATTTTCACCATCATTACTGCTATGTTCATGCAGTTATGATTAAGGTAACTCAGTAGCATTACAAAAATAATCGTTATTGACTCAAAATAACAATGGCCATTGGTGGCAATAAGTGGAGTTTCTCTTGTACTTGAGGGGGCAGGGAGAGGAGAGAACAGTGACTGAATGAGTGTTTAAGGCAGTTTAAAAGGTCTAGTATTTGATTTGATTTTACTCTGTCCTTGTTTTTATTCTTTCTTTCTTCCCCTCCTCAATTTTCCACCTCCATTTTTTCTTAAACATTGTCAAAGGGAAAAACAGGTGGTTTTTAGCCCGGTGGATGATTGTTTACAGCCTTGATCCAACAAGTTATTTAGAAACATGTCAAACTTCTATCCCAAGAGAAGTCCCTGCAATTGCAAAGAGCTTCTCTTGCTCCCAGTGGGAAAGTTCACACACGCTGAGTGGCGTGCAGGCCGTGACCAGGCAGATCCAAACAGTTTCTGCCATTCCCTGGCTATTTGATCCACTGCAGGCCAGCGTGAGCTACTGCTGGCTCCTGTGAATTGCTACTCCTTGTTATATTTGAGGCAAGCCACGGAACAAAGTACAGGATGCCATGGGATCAGGTCTGGACCAGTTCCTCTTCTGAATAAAAACTGAAACACATCATGCTGACAAAAATCTAAATTCATTACAAGTTTAACTCCAGTCTTTCCTCATTTATCAAAGTCTCTACAACCCACTGTGGTCAAGAAGTTTTTTCATTTCTAACAGACTGGCTGCAGCTTCATCTTTGGGATTAGAGTGATTCTGAAGGATCGTAAAATAACCAAGTTATTAGAGAACAGCTGATGCATCCTCATATGAATTTATGACAAAAGTTTAATTAGATGTGCTGCACATGTAATTTATTACTCCTACAAGAGCTACTGTAATGGATCTGTCTTAGATACTACTTTTTGTTGTTGTTGTTAATTTTTCTTTTTCTTTACCTTTTTAGCTTGGAGAAATAAATGCAAAAGTTCACTGAAGATGTTCACCTTAGTATCATTCCTTTCCAGACTCTATCGAACCTGAGGATATGCCTTTGGAAAGCATTGAAATGACACAGGATCAGCTGCTGAACTATCAGTTGATGTTTCCCATAGGCCAGGACAAATCCATCCCCTGGAATGCCATCACTGCATACGAAAACATGAAAGCAAAGAGACTAGCTGAACTCAAGAAATGGAAAGAGCAGGTGCGTTTTCTTGCAAACCTTTCAGAGAACATTTCAGTAGATGCTGTTGATTAAGAATATAAAATGAAACTATGCATGAAATCCTAGCAGCAACACTGGGATGTCAGTATTTTGGGTAGCCAGTAAACAGACTTTTGGAATGCCTTCATCAGATGCTTGAGGAACAGGCAAAATGGCAGGAGCGATAAAAACAGGTGTGCATCAGATATGTTCTATACAGACTCCATGCAGAGACTGAATCTTTCTCTGCATTTACTCTCAGATTATAACATGGGCCTTTAAATTCTAGGAGGCCATACTAAAATCTTGGACTCCTTTTGTTAAAAAATAAAAGGCATTTGTCACTGATCCAATGCCCAGTCAAATAAAAGGGAGTCCTTATATACAGTTATGGATGAAACACCAATGCAAACCAAAACGTGTTTCTTTCTGATCGCAAGTAGATGCATGTAAAAAGGCAAAAAGCTCAGTAATTAAAGTAAGCTTTTGCCTTCGACGCTGCAAAATTGCAGTGGATAGTGGGGGTGTGGGGCCTTTGCAAGCAGGTCCGTGTTCCACTTGAGGGCACCAGAGAACCACAGTTAGACCAGTCCCAGGCAGCCAGCATACCCATAGCACGGAGCTGAATTAGAACTGGGCGCCACAGAAGCCCAGTTTCGTAATGGTCACAGACAAAATGAAAAAAAGCGCAAAAACCTACTAACCACCACCTCACCCTAGGAAGCCTCATTCCACATCCAGAACAGGACTTAATCACTGATTTAGTTTGAACTATTATACATAAGTGCTGTTAGCTCCAGTTCTGATTTGTAGGCTTCTGCTTTTCTCACCCAGAGCCACAGATAAGCCCGTTGACTTGAATAGAATCTCTTATGTGAGGGCCTGACACGGGGAGGTCTTTCAAAAGCAGATGGTATGATTATTTTCACTCTAAAGTAAAAATATTTGTTCAGTCACTAGTGCTCCCCTTTCACTCATTTAAACACATAAGGTACTATTAATAGCGGCAATTGTGACTTTGAAAAAGGGAGCAAGCAAATTGTGAAAATAGTGAATATTGCAAACAGTTCTTCATCCCCAGTTTCAGGAACTTTGGGTTTGGGTCTCAGAGCCACAGAGCTGCTCTCTATTCTGCTTTGGCGACAGCTCTGTCCTGTACAAAAGATAACAAACATTCAGATGTTTGTTCTTGCACCTTCTATATATGTCTTGCACCTCTTCTCCATACATCAACAGAGCACAGGGCCATGGCAACCCAGAAAACGTGGCTAGTCTCACGTACACCAGCCTCCTAACGTGCACCTCCCCATAATAGGAGAGATTGTACCCTCTGAGCAGTAATGTGTTTACTTAGTACAGGTTAAATTTCCTTGTGTGGCAATTTAAGGACTTAAATCCTCATGTTTCTGAGGACAGAAAATACCTCAAAGAATAAAAACAAAGGCCTAAATGCAACACCAGAGTTTTCTGGCTGTGCTCCTACTGAAACAAGTAAAAACTACATGCAAAGCAGCCTGGTGCAGATTTTATGACTAATAAGTATTTTCAGCTTTTTGCTAGCTTTATACTAATCACTTTTTGTTTAGCTGGTTTCTCTGTGATTTTGGTATTGACAACCTTTTTTTCAGGGACCTTGTCAGAAGGAGCTCTACAGAGCCCTGTATAAATTGGCAAAGGCACAGCAGAGAAGCGGAGGGGAGATTTACAAATTCTACTTGCCCAACTGCAACAAGAATGGATTTTACCACAGCAAACAGGTACGTGCCTTTTCCCCTGTCTGCTTACAGCAGTGCTGCGACTAGCCTGACACAGCCAAGCCTTTCATAGCCCTCTGCTCCCAAACTCAGGAGTTTGCAGCTGCTGGAAAACCAGGTTGTGAAAACAGGGATACTTAGTAGTGAGAGCAGATGGTTTGTCCTTCTTCTCTTAAAAGTGAACCGCATGCTGTGGGCTGACAGCAATGGAGACAGGAGCCTTTTCCATTCACAGAACAGGTGCACACAAGGCCTTCTCCAAAATCTTTTAACTCTGTTTGCTCCCAGGCCAAATCAAGCTCCATGTACCTGATTTGTTAGCATATTCCCAGCTGACGTTAATTCATAAAATCCACCATACTGCCTGCAAAGCCCATTGAATATGTAATAATCACTATGGAGAAAGGAGGCTCTCAGCTCCCAGGCAGTGAAAAACTCACACAGGCAGTGAAAAAACTCTCTGGAGCAAAATTAGCCTTCTGAAAGTAGAACAAAAATACTGATTTGTGCTGCCTATGGATTATGTTATATGCTCATTTCCATTATAGCCTCAAAAAAAGCCATTGCAAGTTACACTGAGAGTAATCTGCAAACCTAACTAAAGCTCCAAACCTCAAGCCACACCCTTGTAACCACAGGTCATGCACACAAATTTAGTAGGTCTGCATAAATCTGTGTCACCAAGACTCCTTGTTTTTGGGCATGGCAACACTGGGTGACTCACAAACCTGTGTGACCTGGGATCTAATCAGGCACAAACAGAAATCTGTTTAACCCCCTCCCCAAGAAAAAACCCACCCTATTTGCCTCCTTGAGTGAAGAGCCAGACCATCCAGTCATTTCTCACCCTACCAGCTCGTACATGCTGGAAGATATTGCTGCTTTATACTGCTGTTTACCAAGGAGTGGGCAAACTGTTTTAATTCTGAAGTTGCTGTTATGGTAGCTGAGCTTGGGTTACGGCTCCCTAACCAAGTGTGTTGGTCAGAGGCAGGACCACCGCATTCAAAACAAGTCTGTGCACGGCAGGTCCCCACATTCTAATCCAGTTCTGTCTAACACCTCTACTTGCAGTATCTCACAGGTAATCTTCTGCTTACAGCTACTTATTGTGGGTTTTGTTTTGCTAATAATACTCTAGTGCGAAACTTCACTGGATGGAGAATCTGCTGGATGCTGGTGTGTCTATCCAAAAAATGGAAGAAGAATTCCTGGATCTCCAGAAATGAAGGGAGACCCTGAATGCCAACAATATCTCAACTCACAAGAATAAAACTAAACACATTAATTCACACCAAGTTTTCTGTGGGGCCTGATCTAGTCAGGAGACATTTCAGTCAGGAGCCGTTTCAGTAAGGTAGTTTTGTGCACCTGATTTTCAGCATATAAGTAACCCCATAAAGTAGCTTTTTTACTGCACTGGGATTACTCAGATGCTCGAGTGACAGATATGAGCAACTGCAAGATCAAGTCCTACAATCTTGTATATTTTGTTTGTATAATATTATAGATACCCTCATGTAAAGCTGTTGAATTATTTATTTCACAGTACGTGTATTTTTGTCTGTGTGTTGTTACTAATTTATATCCTCAAACACTTCATAACTTTATATGTAAATACTTAATATTATTGCTCTTAAATGTATGCATCTTATGTTGGCAGAATGTTGCTACTTAAAACTTCAAATGGCATAACTCTATTGGGAAAAATGGCTTGTAAACTTGCATTTTTGTACTATGTATTTATAGACGTAAACTGAATTTTAAAAAATAGCTTTCACTAGAGAACACGCTTATTAAGCTTATTTAAAACCTGTTTTGTTTATATATCATGTTGCTTTTGCACCTCTGTTTCAATGTCAAGCTGTTTCTTAAAAAAGAAAGTCTAAACCTTGATTATATACTGAAGCTCCTGATGGGACAGTATTTGTTTCTATTTTCCAAACATATGCACTGGATAAATGGCAAAACACAACAGGATATTCTGTGCCACCTTTGACAGGTGTAAGTTGTTCACATGTTGACATTGTCATGTTATTTAAGATGAACTATTAAATAATGTCTTCTACACTACAGTCTCTTGCTCACTGCATGTTCCCATTCAGCAGTCTGGCCTCGGCAGGACAGCTCAGCGGTGGGTGGGATCTTGCAAATCTGCCTCCTGAACATCTAGCTCCATTTTCCTGCAATGAGTTTTCTTCTTTTGCTCTCCCCGCCCCGTTCCCCTTCTCCCGTCCTCTCTGATCCCGGCTGTGCTCTGCAAGCCTTTGCCTTGGACAAAGCAGCAGCCTCCAAGGGAAGCTATTAAAAGGTTTTCTGGGTAGGAAAGCTGGATGTCTTTCTCTGCTCAAAAGCCCAAGGCAGCAGTATTGGTGCATATAAAAAGATAACTTAGAGACTAGAAAGAGCCATTTCCTGCACAGAAAGTCAGAGGTTATAAAAGGGAGGCTGGGGAAAAGCCCGGCCTTACTCTTTTGTTTAAAGCAGAGAAGAGGGTCCCCCTGGCTTGGGATGTGGCTCCCCTCCCTCCCCAGCATGTTCCTTCAACTGAGTGGTTGCAGAGAAAAAGAAAGCAACTGCCCTGCTGGCTTCAAGCTGGTTTTGTCCATGGAGAAACTGGTGTGGGAGTTAGCAAGTCCCAGAGGTGGAAACAGGCTGCACCAACCCTGCCTGAGAAAACAGCCTGAGAGTAATAACATTTTCTAAGAGCCTGGCAGGAGGGAAATTCGGCATTTGTTGGCACAAGCTTTGGGTTTTAAATGTGAGCAGGAAGCGGCTTGTAGAAACTGCAAAGCGTGGAGATCTCTTCTTCGTATCACGGTTCTGTGGCATCGCACGTTGTTCTTGCTGAATGTGTTGGCTGCATTTGCACGTCAATGTCAGCTGATCTGATTGGGGTCTAATAAACTGCTCCAGATTTAAAAGTATGGATATACTGCTGAGCTTCTTTGTAAAGTGTTTTGAGAACTTCCCAAGGAAAGCACTGCAAAAGCAGTTGATGGCATTGGTATTATAAATAATTAACGTCTAACCTCTCTGTAATGAGCTACAGTGAGACCTGGCTAAAACTGTGTGACAACACCGCATTCACTGTGTCAAAATGCTTGGCAATCGTTGTATCAAAATAATGAAGCAGCAGCAAAGTTGGGCAGAACCTTGGAGTTCTTTCATGGAGACTACCCAGTACTGAACAACTGTCATGCAGCATTGCCGAGGGAAAATGGTGAAGAAAGGAGCGGAAATCATATACTCGTAGCTACAGCACATGCTTAAGAGCACTCTGACTGATATCACCCCATTGACCTTGTCTAAAGGTTGATCTCTAAAGAGCAGAAATTGGTTCTTTTTGTTGGGATCATTATACATACAGGGGAAATGTTCATCACGTTAATAATTATTAATAGCACAATCTATTTGCAGTATAGCAATCCAGTGGACAGCTACTTCCAAGGTTTTGCAGTGTGGCAGGTTCCCATCCTAGCTGCAAGAAATTAGAGTTTCTAACAGGGACAGGGTTTGGGGGGAACTCTTTCCTTTAAATCTTAAGTACCAGGAGCAGAAGTTGCTTCTTACAGCATTCAGGCATGACAGGCCAATTTCTTAGAGGGGTTTAGCTCCTTGCCTCCCACTGAAGGCAACAGGGGATGGGTGCCTCCTTATCTGCAATCTGGCCTCTTGTGGTATCTTGCCAGTTCTCACCAGGACAGACTTCTGCTGAGCTGCTCTGGGATGGGCTGTCTGACTTGGGCCAGACTCTTCTGTATACTGGGATTAGGACTAATGCAAGGAGGCAAAGAAGGCAAATTTTATCTCCCCTCTCACAATGTTGCCAGGAGCTTGGACTACATTTAGGCCATAGATGCCATGTGTTGTGATTTGTCCTGATTTTTATGATCAGCCTCAGTTACAGGGTGAAAAATCAAAGGTCTGTAGTTTTCCTTTGTTTTGGTTATTTTTTTCTGTTTTGGGGGGGGGTTGTTGTTTGTTTGGGGTTTTTTTTTTGCATGTGTCAGCTGCCAGTCTTGGCTTCAGTGTGTGCCTGCTGCAATGGTCACACCTGCACTGGCGAGCCAAGCCTGGTGGGAATGACTGGAGAAACAGGGAAGGTGCTGCAGGATGCTCTTAGCAGCTCAGGTCACCTGGCATGCAGCTGGATGTGTAAAGGGGAAGTACTGTTCCTCGTTATTTCAGCTCCCTCCCTTCGCACCCTCTTGCACTCCTCCTACCCCACCTAAAAAAACCTAATTGGTGGGAAGGTCTTAAGTGAGCATATGTGATGTTTGGTTCATGTTATCTGAGAACCCTACCTACCCACTTAGTGCTTTTTCATGCCAAAACCCTGCCAGGTTTGCTGCAGCAGGGTTTGTTCCAGCCATGCCTCCTCCTGCTCCTGGCCTACTGCCAGCTGCAAAATGCTCATAGCACAGAAATGAGGTCACTGCCCTCTCCACTTTATTTTCTACCCTCCTTTTCCCCTAAAGCTGTCCAAGACAACCTACAGCCACCTGGTATTGGGCTCTGCTCATACAGAGTCAGTTCTGCTCATCACTTTGGGGTACATTCGGAGGCGAGGGGAAAGAAAGAAGGAGAGAAAGAAAATGGGAGTGGAGGGCAGCCAACACTAACACTGAAAGCTCATCAGCATCTCTGTCACTTCTCTATCGTAAGAACACATGCTCTGCAAAGGCAAAACTTAGGCAGGGAACAGCTTTCTACAGATCCAGGCCAAAACATGATCCGATATTAAGCATGTCAAGATTTAGCCTTTTCCAAAACCAATATATTCCTTGCACTTGCTAGTGAAAGTCCTAAACACATTACAAAATAAAAAAGCAAACAGAAAATGCGTCACATATAGCTTGCTTTCCTCAAGGGGAAGAAAACTGGGATGGGAAAGAATGGCACATGGCAGAGGCTTGTCACAGGATTTACTGCACTCCTGGAAAGCGCTCAGCTCCATAGCGTCAGACACTACGTGGGAGCCTCAACAAAATACTAAAACAGAGCAGTTTTTTTCTGCAAAGTCAGAACCAAAGATGTTTGTGCTTTACTAGCAGCCTAGCAGCACTGACTTTGCAGAATTAGAAATGTTATTTTTCTATCCATGTTACTGCCTGGCTATTGCAGAAAAACACCAATGTCTAATCCTTGCGCAACCCATAATATTAGTAAGTATCTGTAAAAAAAAAGATCCAAGTGACTCATTCCAAGCTAGACTCTCAGCCTATGCTGTGCATTGAATGGACAAGTCCCATCTCTATCTTTAGACAACACCTTTGAAGTGGGTCTACTTTTCCTCGGCTATCACTTCACTGATAAACCACTAGCCTAAACAGCCTCCCCAGGCTGCACTGATGACAGGTCCCAGGCTTTCTATCTGCCAACACATTTTGTATTTATGGACCAATTATTTTATGCATTTCTTGTACTTTGCATTGACAATCAGGCAGGGATTCAGACCACACAGGAAAGTGGGGTATAAGCATCTTAAGCCTTCTTTAAGACTTGTGTAGATGGTACATAGTGAGTAACAGTAGCAGAGTTGGGGCAAGTGAAGGGCTTCTCTTACTGACATGTCACCCTATATTACGTAGTCACATTTAGGTAAAGGTGGGAGGGGACAAAGAAGGAGAGGATTTGCTGGGAGCACAGCCGGTTAGTTCTGTATTACCAGAAAGTACCAAAAACAACAGCAGTGGAGCAGGAGCCCGGACATACCAGCACTTGCACTCTGAGTAATGAAAACAGCTCTGATGATAGCTCTGTCAACAAACAAGGGCTTTATTTTATTTTCCCTCCTTTCCTCCTCCCTTGACCTACCTCCTTCCCTGGGGTGCAAAGTTCACCTGCAGCTCACCAAGGCTCCTGTGAGGGCCTAGGGAGAGGAGCAACCTTCTGCGGGAGAGATGTGGGAGCAAGCGTGCTCGTGGATGTTGAAGTAAGGTCAAATGAACAAATCTAAACTTAGCCCGTTCCAGATCTTGGCTGTTTCATTTTGCAAAACCTTCTGCTCGCCTTTTCAGACTCCACATTGGATTATCACCTCTGAGTGGCAGTATGGGCAGGCCAGCAGAGACAAGGGCATGCAGGGGAAGGCAGGGCTGCACACATGCTTGGCTCCTTGCTGCTTCCTTATGAACCACGTTTCCCAGCAGGGACAGTGCCTGGCCAGCAGGCACAGCTATTCCAGCAGAGCCTCCCTTCTGCAGTTCTGCCGTGCACAACATGGCACAGGCAGTCTTCCTCCTGCTCTCAGTCTTCTCCAACTGCTGT